TTATCTATGTTCTTTACGGGCATGACTAATAAATATAGACTAATAATATGCACTTGTTTTTTAAACATTAATATGTATTTATAATAAATCATACAGACTATTCACTAACTTCAATTATATAAGATTTAAAAGATGAATATTAAAATTAACAATTTATAGCCAGTAATTCATAGATGCGTTCTCATCTACCCGTGAATTAAGATGATTTAACAAACCCAGTTGAATCCAAATGAATTAGTTCTAAAAATTTATTAAATCTATTTTAGATATCAACCCATTTTTCCAAACCTAAAATATATGACAACTCCCGTCAAATTTATACTTTTATATTATATGTGCTCACATCTACGTGAGTTAACGAACTTCAGTTGAATCCAAATGAATTAATTTTAAAAATTTATTAAACATATTTTATATATTAATCCATTTTTTCAAATTAAAAATGTATGACATCTCCCGTCAAATTTCAGTTTTAAAACTTTTATATTATATCATATTTACATATTTTTTTACAACCTATAATGTATAACAGTTTCCCGTTAAATTACAATTGTATTTAAAAATATAACTTAATTGTCATTTAAAACAGTACATTCAATTCTTTAACTTCAATTATCTGGTATGTCATAGATACATTTATTCTACCCGTGAATTTATTTCATGTACTCAGTTGGTTAATATTAATATAATTACAATATATAATCATTTATCAAATTTGAATTTCTCATTTATAAAAATAATTTTAAATTATTCTCGTTTATAAAAATGAACGCGTGTGTCTATTTATAAAAATATATGAAACTTATACTCTTTTATAAATATAATTGTATCAATACTTGAATTTTTCCGGTTTATAAAAATATTTATAATTTATTCATGTTTATAAAAATTATTGTAATTTATTTTTAGTTTGTAAAATTAATTATATTAATATGTAGACTTTTTCTCGTTTATAAGTGTCTTTAACCCGTGTGACAATTTATAAAAACATTTTAACTTATTCATGTTAAAAACAATTACATCAATATTTGAATTTTGTTCGTTTATAAAAATATTTGTAAGTTATTTAAGTTTATAAAAATAATTGTAAAAATAAATATTTACCGTATCATCTTAAATTTATTTATTCAACAGTGATAAATATGTGTCTCTTAGTTAATTACATTTATAAATAAATATCGTGTATTAGTGATATATATTAAATTTATTATCTTAATGTCTAACTAATTAAAATGAATTTATTATTGTCAATCAAAAATTATAATATTAAATAATAATATAATATTATTATTATATACGGGAAAAAGAATAAATTAAATCTAAGAATATCAGAAAATTCATTATAATATTAAATAATAATTTAACATTTATTATTACAATGAATCATATATAACATTTCAAAATTATGTATTTATTTCTTATGTTTTATTATATTTGATTTGTAATAAATATTTTTCAATTTATTGCAAATTTTCAATAATTAAATATTAATGATATTATATAAAATTAATTTCATGAAATAAATTTATTTAATAAAGTGTTATATAAATATTTAATACATTATATTATACCATTCATTTATATAAAATGATATTAACTTATTCCTGTTTATAAAATTATTGTAACTTTTTTCCGGTTTATAAGCATGTTGAATTCGTGTGTCCATTATTAAAATATATGTAATTTACTATTATTGATATAAATAATTTTATAAATAGTTTAATTTATTACATTTATAAAATTATTTGTAATTTATTCACCTTATATAATTAATTATAAATTATTTAATTTATTAAAATGATTGTATCAATAATTTTTTATTTTATCATAAATTTTTATGATTATCATTTATCATTAAATTTTCATGATTACCATTTAATATTTTTTTATCATGATTACAATTATAAAGTTAATTTGAAAAGATTATGATATATTTTAGTTATTTCATAAACTTAAAAAAATTATCAAATCTCAATTGATTTTGTTTTGTTTTATTAACCTTTTTATAGAAATTGAAATAATTTATTTTAGGTCAAATAAGGATCTAAATAATTACAAAATAATATTTATTCTTACATTTATAGAATGATAAATTAAATATTTAAGATAAACATTAGAGTTCTTATTTACTTTATCTTTTATATATTTATAATATACTTTTTTGTTAATTTTATTAACAATATATTTATAGTTAACAATACATCCTTTAAACTACGTTATTTTTTTCAAGAATATAAATGTAACCTTTCAAAAAATATACACAAATATATTTAGAAGTTGGTAGAAAATTTTATTGGTTAAATTATAATTCCATTCAAAATTTATTGATCATAAATTTTTGAAATCAAATCATACATAAAAATAAAATGTATTAATGTGACCATTCAAAATATTTTCTATATATAATAAAAATAAATAATATTAATACCTCCATTCAAAAGATATATTTGTAAAGTTTTGATTTAATTTTTTTCATATCTTTATATATTCTAATGTATATAATATTCCTACAATATGAAACAATATCAAACCTATAATATTAAAAGAGAATTCAAATTTTATTGATCATAATATTTTATAAAATCAAATCATATATAAAAATTAAATATATTTATGTCACCATTCAAAATAATTTCCATATAAGTATAATAAAAATAAATGATAATAATTAAATGGTACTCCAATATTTGATTAAAAAATTGTAATATTTGTTTTTAATATTGTATAAAAATATATTAATTAGTCGTACTTTAAAAAAAAATAAATCGTAAATATTTTATTAAAAATTGTAATATTTATTTCTAAAATTATAGCAATTAAAAATAAAAAAATATCAATACAAAATAAAAAATTTATTCAAATTTCATGACAAATGAGAATTATAATTTCGATTCAAAATAAATTAGAATTTTGAAGGCACATCAACACCAACTTGTAAAAATAAATCGTAAATATTTTATTAAAAATTGTAATATTTATTTCTAAAATTATAGCAATTAAAAATAAAAAAATATCAATACAAAATAAAAAATTTATTCAAATTTCATGACAAATGAGAATTATAATTTCGATTCAAAATAAATTAGAATTTTGAAGGCATATCAACACCAACTTGTAGGTTATTATCTTCTCTTTAGGAGAAGAGAAATTCTATTTAAAAAAGATTGTAAATATGTTAATTGAACGAAACTTAGAGTAGTGTGTTTGTTAGAGGCAATGTTACATTCAAAACAACAAAATATATTATGGCAAAACCAATGTTGATATGACATACAAAATATGAAAGCAATAATAATATACATATACATAATTTGAATCAAATATTGTTAAAAATATTCTTCTATAGAACCAGAAAATGATCGCATATCAACGTTGGTTTTATCATCTTATACATCTTAGATAATTAATGATCGCATATCAACGTTGGTTTTATCATCTTATACATCTTAGATAATTAGAGAATCAAAATATGGGAATGAAGAAGAATTGGAAAATAATACGTAACCTTTTGAAAATAATGGAGAATGAAGAAGATTGAGGAGTGAAAGAGTAAGGGTTTAAAAGGGCTATATATAGGGTTTAGAATACATGAGAAGTTGTGATATCTTTGGAATATCAAAATAATCCGTTCTAATTCCAATAATATACATTTAATCTTGTAGTGTAATGATAAATAGTGGGTAGAATAATATTCCATTTAATTATAATAGATCTAATTTGGGCATTCCAATTCCTTCCTCATTAACCGTGAGTCAAACATTAGAATTCAAATTCTGTCAAAAAAACATTGGAATTCAAATATAAATAAATTAACCGTGAATGAAACATTGGAATTGAAATTCAAATATAAATAAAATTCAAATATAAATAAAATAAATTAATAAATCAAATAAATAAAAAATAGTGTAAAATTATGATAGATTGACATGTCCAAAATTAAATGCCAAATAAATATGGTAACAGTGTTGATTAGTCTATTATACCCTTGAAATAAGAAAAGTTATAACATCTAATTATTCTAAATTAACAAAATTTTAAATACAGTAGATATTCACTATTCACAATATATTTCAAATCCTAAATATAATCATTTATTATTATTATAACAATTTATATATTATTTACGAAAAGTCATTGAATACATTTCCTAAAACTACACTACGATAAGCCTTGAGAACAATGCGCAACGAGAAAAGATATTTTAAGAAATTTGTTTTTCTATCTCTTTCATTTATATTCAATAACTATGGAATGTCATTTTTTTCCAAAACAAATGGAATATTCTCTTAAAATTACTATGGTATAAATATTTTAGATTTAAAGTGAGAAATTGAAATGTGTTCACCATCCTTGACTCCAAGTAAGTATAATGAGCTATTGTACCTATATTCAAAATTTAAGCAATTAACGTAATATATTCACTTATTCATAAAACGTAACCAAAAAGGTGCCTCCATATTTTTCTCAAAATATTAAGATAATTAAATCAAAGTACTGCAGAATCCAGAAGCCAGTTTGTGCTTTACCAGTCATAATTCTACCTAACATTTAGAAGTTGGGTTTTGTGCCTCTGTCTTTAATGTTTTCCTTCAGTAAACACAGAATCCATTGCATTGTTTTGCTAAAAAGACATACTATCTGAACACTTTTAATTGGTCTAGTTAATAAGGTTAATCTTGTAACCTTAGGTCATTACTCAAATTCTTCTTTTGGGTATCCATGGAAATTAATGGATGTGAAAATCAAAGAAAACATAGTACTAGTAGTAATAAAGAAAGTTAATCAAATAACAATTCTAATAGTATATTTGTATATATATGTTTAAAATCCTAAGAGATTGAAAGATATTTATATATTATATGTTAATAAAAGGGAATCAATGAGAGTTTTGGATATAGATTCAATCATAAAATAAAATAGCGATCTTCTCTATTTCTCAAAAGAAATGAAAGCCTGACGGCAACTGATACAACTCGAACTCGAGCATATACTAGTTTTCATTAACTAGGCGCCTTTCCGTTTCCAAGAGTAAGCTCCAAGTCATCCAATCCCACTTCATGAATCCTTTCTCCAACCCAAGGCTTCACCACTTGACCTCCGAACTCCGGCTCAGAAATCCTCATCTCTTGCATTCTGTTTTCAGGAAGCATGTTATGCTGCTCATCAATTACAGGTTTCAGAAAGTTCAATGTAGGAGAGACCGATGATTTAGCAGAAGCTGCAAAGGCTTGAAAGTTCAACCACTGACTAGATTCAACGGTAGAAGTATCAGACTCATCACATTCAGGTATAGTAGGTGGTGTATAAAGGTGACGGTGCGACGGGCTAGATGGCGCCGAAGCTGCAAAGAAAGGGTGATTGAAGGATGTAATGGATGCTTTGGCGATTGAATCCCAAGTGGGGATCATGGGTTTGTGATTTCTCGAGGTTGGTGATGAGATAGGCGGCGTCACAGGTGCGCTGTTTGATATTCTTAAAGGCGGGAGAGACATGTTAGGGAACACGCTGCGAACATATGGAATGAAATTTGACGGGTTATTATTTGCATCCATACGAGACGGACTCGGAAACGAAGAGGAGGAGGGGCTAACTTGGTAGGAATGGATTGGACTCGGAAATGACGACGAAAGAGGACTTGGATTTTGCGACGAAAATAGATTGTTTCTGGTACAAGCTCCCGCACCATCGCCTGATGTTGCAGCCCTTGATCCCTGTTCATTGTTCAGTCAGAAAGAATAATCATCATAGCCCAAAACATATTCTTATCAGATACATTTATGTTAAAATAAACAACTGAATTAAACGCTTATAATATAATCACTTATATACAAGTTATTTGTATAAGAAAAGATAAACTATCTTAAAGAGCTTAAGGAAAGAAGCAGAAAAATCATTTAAGAACATGTTAGAAAATGTTTCCATAAGTTCTTCCACCAAACCATTCCATAAGTGCTTATGTGAGTAGATAATAAGTTCAAACAAACCAAACAAGATAGATCCAAAATAGCTTAAACTGTTCAAAAAACACCACCAATTACTAATTACAATTACCCTAGAGACTAGATTGTTATTTCAATGCATTCAATTCCACACAGAAAATTTTCCTTTTTGATCCCAATGTAGCATAATAAAATGTATAAAACATAAATACCTTACCTTAAATTGAACAAAGCAACAACAAATTTCTCACTCTTAAAAACACAAGACACAAAAAATTGAAAAAACACAGATTCTAAAATTCATTTGACTAAAAAGCACAAATTCTGAAACTGGTTTGACTGAAAAAATTTCATCAAAATTAGGAAAAAAACAGGTTCGATCCAATGAAAAACGAAACGAATTATAGCATGATTTGAATCTAACAGTAAAAATCATCAATAAAGAAGAAAAAAAGTAGTAATTGAAGAAAAAGGAAGAGAGAAAATTGTTACTCTTCGATAGGTGGTGCCGTCTTCTTCAACGGTCCAACCAGCTTCAACACAGAGAGCCTTGAGCACTTCATTGTTATCACAGTGTTTAGGCAAATTATAGTTCCCCTGAGACCTCAATCCCGCGTAAATCTTCGCAGCTATAGCTCTCCTCCGTCTCTCTCTCCTCCGGTTGTTTTCTCTCTCCCTCCACGACGGTTTCCTCCGACTGTTGGCCGCCGAAGTTGCTCCATCGGAACCCATTGACGCAGACTCAGAGTGTAGTCCTGTGGAACGCGTCGTAGGTGATTTGCACCCAAATGGAGAGACAGAATAAATAGACTCACGAGAAATGCGCTTACTCGTTCTTGCTGTTGCTATTAAAATGAAATGTTTTCTTCTACTTCTACTAGTAGAGTTCTTCGTTCTTTTTTTTTATTTTATTTTATTTTTATTTTTTATTTTTTTATTTTTAATTTTTTTTTATTTAAGAGTTTTTTATTACAATAATTCAGTTTTATTTAAAAAATCTTTAATTAACCAAATTTCTTCACTAGTCCACACCATATTTCAAAAAATAAAATTGACTAAAAAAAATAAAAAAGACGTCAATCTAATTACAACAATGAAAGATGCTGATATTATAAAGAAATTTTACATTGTGATTGAATAGTAACTATCAAATTTTAAATTATGTTTGATTTTTATTTTAAATATATTTAAAATAATAATTATGAATAATTGTAATGAATTAATTATGTAATTATTTTTAAAAAATAATTGTTAAAAATAATCGTTTTAGAGAAAAAATTGTTTCAACAATTATTTTTTCAATCTTAACTTACGTTTCAAAATATATTCACTATCATATTGTTGTTTTACACTGACTGATAGTGTGACATGAGAGTTTGCTAGTGAATAACAATTAATCTCATGTATTAAAATATAGAAGGAGACACTAATTCAATTGACAATTGACAATAGTCTATATCCTCTCACCTATATGTTTATACAACGTTGTCAATTAAATTAACAGTTTTTCTTATGTGTCGTATATTATAGCATGGTTATTGTGAAAATTAGTGAAATTTTTTTATTATTTAAGAATTAAAAAATAAAGTTAATTGTTATGGATTGTCACAGTGTAATTTATTTTACACCAATAATATATTATAATTATTAAAATGTAATACTTTAAATAGATTTAAAATTAAAATCAAACTTTTTAAATAAATTAACAGTTGTGATTTATTGACGGTGTAAAACTTCTTTATATTATTATATATTTCAATTAAAATTTGAAAAGAGAAATTAATTATTTTAGTTATAAAATTACTACTATTGATTTAGTTATATTATTAATATTATTATTATTACTCTCTCTATTTTTTTTAATTATCATTTCTTAATTTTTTACACATAACAAAATAACTAATAATTATTGTTATTTTTAAATAATGATTTTTTTTAATAATATTTTTAATTTTTAATAATTTATTTAACTTTTTCTTTTTTTATAATCATGATTAAAAATAATTTTGAAAAAATGATGACTAATACTATTTTAAATTTTAAAATATGACACTTAAAAAACAATTTTTTTTCCATTTAAAAAATGACACTTAAAAAACAACATTAATAGAAAACAAATGAACACATCTTTTTATAAAAGAAAAGAAAGAAACAATGATGAAATAGATCAGAGTTTGTTTTTACGATTTTAATATTATATTAACGGTAGCGTGTGGGAAGGCTCACGGAATCTACGGAGGACATGCATGATGAGCACGCGCGTGAGGGGATTATCGCGTGGAGGTGAGACCTCACATCACATGTGGACTGCCTCTCACTGATCACCTAATTATTAGGGGAATGGGGTCCACTAATTTGGCTCGGCTCGGCTCGGCTTGGCTTATGAGAGAGTGTGGGGTCCAAAAACATGAGAAATGAACTGCTTCGGTTTTCGATGGAGGAATAATGGTGATACTATGTTGGAACGCTTTTGCTTTGGCTTTTGTTTGTTTGTTCGGCAATTTTTTCTCTTTTTATTTTTTTTTGTAGGTTTTGTTTGAACTTTTTGTGGGTCAAAGATTTCAAGCTCTAATGAGTTGGCCACAATATGAAGTGGTGTACTTAGAAGTGTTAAAATGGTCTATTGGTATAAATGAATAATTTTAACGTGTAAAATGATAAAATTTTAGATATATTATAAATAATTTGCGTATTATATATTTTAATTTTTTTTATATTATAAAGGTGTAAATATTAAATAAAAGTTATTAGTTTGACTTAACTTCAAACTAAAAGGTTTCATCATAATATAATTTATAATAATTTGCGTATTATATATTTTAATTTTTTTTATATTATAAAGGTGTAAATATTAAATAAAAGTTATTAGTTTGACTTAACTTCAAACTAAAAGGTTTCATCATAATATAATTATGTAAATAGTACAGAAAATACACCATGACCTATTCTAATTTAAATAATATTGAAATGAGGTTTAAAAAACTCTGGCGTAATTTTTATGAAAAGATAGAGTTAGTACAAATCAGATATATAACAATTTGTTATAAAAATATATTCCACCAATCTAATTATAATTGTTATAAAATTATAGTTATTATAAAATTATAATTATTATAAAATTTTAATTGTCATGAATATTATAACTTATAATTTGTTGAAATAAGTTATTTAATTTTGTGTACTATATTAAATAATTTGTGATGTATTTTGGATAGTTTGAATTAAGTTAATGTATTATTTTACATTTTAATTGTTAACTTATATGAATTATTTAGAAATCTTAATTTTTGATATATATATATATATATATATATATATATATATATATATATATATATATATATATATATATATATATATATATATATATATATATATATATATATATATATATATATATATATATATATATATATATATATATATATATATATATATATATATATTATTGCATGCAATTGCATGATTACTTTAAAAAATGAGTTAATTTTTTTTAATTTTTTTTAAAGATGAACCCATTTAAGATTGGAATCCGTTTAAGACCGAGTAACCCGCGGTCTAGACAAAGCTGAATCTAAGTAGTAAAAATAAAGGTAATTTAAATATAAACTTTTTAGACCCAACTCTAAAAATCCCGAAGCCCGTATGGATCGGCCCATTTAGGGCCGGGTAACTGACAGCTTAAGGTGCACCAACTACTAGCTCATTCCAACTACTAACTTGCTCATTCCAACAAATGCATGTCTGAGACTTGTAATGGTATGAATGGAACCCAAATTACATCAAGCATTCATGGAATTCATGTTAAAATGACAAACAAATCAATTACATAATTCAACATCAAGAGTGTCTCAAGAGTGTCTCTTATGATATGGTCACCTAGATACAATAAAAGAAACAACATGAGCGAGAATGACTACTGTAATACAGTGGCAGAACCGACTGTTAATACTGGTTTTGCGTCCGTGTTTGCAAATGTTGCGGTAAGCAAGAGTCGCCATCGATTTTTCTTTTATCCAACAAAGAAAAGGGTGAAAAGAACAGAAAAAACACATTTTCGAGAATTTTCTGAGTAAGGGGGATAGATTATGAAAAGGGAAGGTGTTAGCACCCTTTCCATCCGTAGTTATCTACGGACTCTTAGAGGTTTGCTCATTTTGAAATACCTTTGTGCTTTGTGCGTTTGAAAATGTTTGGAAAATGCCTTAGTGCAACGATTTGCTTTGCGTTTAACTCTTGTATCAGTCTTCAAGAGTGTTAACAAAGAAAATGTTTTTGAAAAGTAGTATTTGTGTAAGTGCAAAAAGTGTTTTTGAGCAAACTTCTAACAGCTATCTACTTTTATACTCGAAAAGGTTCGTTCTTTTCCTTATATCCTTTAGACAGCACTATCCTACTATTAGTAAGCAGGTAGCCTATCGTTGGATGTATAAGGGACATTCAAATGGACGTTTACAGTCACGAAGACAACTTGTGGAGACGCTTTAGCATTTTGTTTAGGGACTAGATCATTTACCGAGAAGGAAAATGTAGGGTCATCGAGGGACTATGATCTTTTGATTTATGAGTCTTTGTTAAAGCGTTCCTGTATCATGACTATTTTATTTCTGAAGGCAACCAAAGTGGGGTACCCTAGAGGTGTATATGTGTAAGTGTGTTATGTTCAGTTATTTTTGTCTTTTTGTTAAGTTTGCTAACATTTGATTTCAGTCTTTTCATACACGCCTAGTTACTAGCAGTTAATATATACATAAATATAAAGTGCGAAGATAAAACCCTACGCTATTACATAGCTTCAGGGAAGGGGTTTACAATATACAAAAATTGGGAGAAGAAAAAAAATAAAGCGGTAAAAATCCTAATTAGTTTATTACATCCAGTATACAGGTACAATAATGAATAGAAATTGTAAAAATAAATAATGTGCGCGGAAGTTAAAAATACGTCTAACAACCTAATAAGAAAATCATTTTGCTTATTTTTTTATTTAAGAAAGTAAATAACCTAAAAATCTATTTAGAAAATAAAATTAATCAAGAAAAATAGTCTAAATTCTTTTTTTAGTTTTTTTTAATTATTTAAAGAAAATAATTAAACATAAATTAAGTCCTAAGTTCTAATTTATTTTTAATTAAAGAAAATAGTTAAAATAGTTATTAATTAATTCACAAAATTAATTCACAAAATTAATTTAATTAAAAAACTAAAACTATATTTTTTGTGATTTTATTATTACATTATACTAATTAAATAAATGAAGAAAACAAATTAAAAAAAATATATATATATATAAAGCAAAGTGACAAAAACAATGCGAAACGGGCCAGAATAATTAGAAATTGGGGGGGGGGGGGGGGGGGTTGCTGAAATTGAATTTTGCTAGGCCTAAGTGAATGTTAAGCCCAGGCTACGCTGTATCAGGTGAGATGAGGCCTTGAGGGCGCATGGTGGATCTCAAATTGAAGCCTTTAGATCTAGACCCCTTATGATTTGAAGGCTAGATCTGATGGTGTTTGGTACACTTTTGGTCATGTAATGCATTGAATATGCATGAAACAAGTTAGAAAATATAAAAATGGAGCTTACTGAGGCGTTTTGTGATGTTTCAGGGCTTGGTAATGATTGCAAAAGCTTCAGGGAGCCTTCAGGAATATATTTAGATCTTTTGTTTGGACTGAGGAAGGCTGGAACCTAAAATGCGAATTTTACAACTTTGATATTTTTTGCAAAAT